CACACACACACACGGAAGGCTTAAGAAGAGCTGCTTGCCCTCTACCCAAACTCCAAGTTCTGGCCTGACTGGCCCCGCCCGTGCTAAGGAAGCTGGGACACTCAGGGGGGATTGCTTAGGGGACTCGAGCGTAGTCTGGGAAGGGCAGTTTTCTGCCTCCCAAGCCCCAGGCACATTTGTTCTGCAGTGAAGCAGAGTAACTACAGAGAAGGGTGCCCATTAGGAGCAGCCAGTCAGTGGTCTCACACCACGTGGCCCTTCTCATCGCGCCACCAGCTCCGACAGGTCACTGAGCCCACCAGTCCTGCAGACCCCCGCCCTGCAGCTCCTCCGGGCCCCAGGAGAGCACCCCCAGCCAAAGGCCCTAACTTGACCCTATAGATCCCTGCCTGCCTCTGTAGACTCCACCCCTGCAGAACCTCCCGCCCCCAAAGACACGCCCCCTTTCCTGCTCTCCCCCAAGGGTGACCCGGAGTGGAGTTTGCCTGGTTGTGAACTTTATGTGTCTGGAATCCTGCAGGGACACTCTGCTATTGGACTCACCGATTTCATCTAAACCAGTGGTTCTCAACCTTCTGGTCCTTTAAATACATTCCTCATGTTGTGACCCAACCATAAAATTATTTTTGTTGCTACTTCATAACTGTAATGTTGCTACTGTTATGAATCGTAATGTAAATATCTGATATGCAGGATGGTCTTAGGTGACCCCTGTGAAAGGGTTGTTCGACCGCCAAAGGGGTCGTGACCCACAGGTTGAGAACCACTGATCTAAACGCTATCTGCTTTTTTATTAAACTGTCCCCCTGGGCGGCCTTTCCGCGTCTTCCTTAAGGAGCAGGAGACTTCAGTACAGCAACTGCAGCCGGGCACTGCCACGCCCTCACCTTGTGAGGAAGCCTCTGCAGCCTGAAGTTCCCGGGGCGAGGCAGCCCCTGAGCTGGGGCACAAAGAGTCACAAACCTCAGCTCGGCTGGGCAAGGGGGCCCCAAAGTTGCCGTCCCGCCCTCCGGCCTCATTCTAGGGCCGTCTCTGGCCAACCCTGATGTGGACACATTTCCTCTCGCTCCCGCAGCAAGGGAACATCTTCATCGTGGACTTTGAGCTGCTGGACGGCATCGATGCCAACAAAACAGACCCCTGCACGCTGCAGTTCCTGGCCGCCCCCATCTGCTTGCTGTACAAGAACCTGGTCAACAAGATGGTCCCCATCGCCATCCAGGTAGGCTCCCGCCCCTCCTTCCTGGGCTTCCCCCCTCAGCAGGCAGGGCTCGGGGAGGCAGCTGGGGTGGCTCACTCAAGCCTCCAGGGGCAGGGGCAGCTCTGCCGGTGTCTCCTAAGGAGGCAGAAAGCTCTGCCAGGCAGGCGGCAAACAAGCACCAGGGCTTCCTGCCAGGCGTGGGGAGCACTGTCCAGGGGGCAGGGAGGGCGTCACTCCCCAAGACCCACTTGAGGAATTCCTGGCAGGGTGAGCTGTCTGCAGAGACCTGCCCTGGGATAACACACTTCACCCCAACCTGGGCAGGGCCCCAAATCACAGTGTCAACAGGGGCCAGGCAGGGGAAGCTGCGACATGAGCCGGACACTGAGCCCCGGGAGGCAGCATGGAGCCTGGGCCAGGAGCCATGCGGGCCTGGGGGCCATCTGGGGGGAGGCAGGTGGGGTAGAGTTTCATCCCTCCCCTTCCTGGCTGCCCTCTGCCTCCTCACAGCACCAGCATCTGCGACACTGGGAGCTGGTGTCCAGCCAGCAGGAAACAACAGCAGGTGGGACCTGGCAGAGGTGCTGGGGGTGGGCTGCCCAGGGGCCCATGGTGGACAGGCTGACAGGCATTCAGCAAACAGCACTTAGAGCCGACCCCGAGCCTGACATTGGGGCTAGAGACGTCATAGCCACTGATTTTGCCAGGTGCTAACCATGTGCCAGGACTGCCCCTAAGGGTTAACCCACGCGGTCCACAATCCCTTATCCTCAGTCCTGAAATCTAAAAAGTTCTAACACTGCTAGGCTTTTCAAAAGTTGGCAGCAAATTCGTTGGTAGCAAAACTCTCTCTAAACCAATAGGAGAGGCTATTAAAGGCTTTGTCCCTTTTGATGTGAAATTCATGTCACAGCAGGAACACAATATATTTGATTGTAAAACATACGTTGCCCAGACCTGGGTGGGAGAAAGAGGGGTCACATAATGAAGTATGCACACCGCTAAAGTCTTAACAATCCTGCGTGCTGAAACATGTAGCCACCAGGGGTTCCAGGAAGGACCTGCCTCTAGTCATGTAATCATCACTACACCCCTGCAAGGTAGGCGGACACTATTGCTAGGGACCGTTTACCTCAGAGAGGGAAACTGAGGCACAGGTGCGCACAGTCAGAAGCAAAACTGGGACTCACACCAGGCCTTCTGACTCCAAGTCAGTGCTCCCCTGACCCCCGGTCCCAGGCACGTTTCCTGCGGGAGTGTTCCAGCTTTCACAGAGAGAAGCGCTGTGCACGTGGTGAGGGACCGGTGATGTAAGAAGAGTCAGCAGCCAGGAGAGCAAGGCGGGGCCACTCCCACTGGTGCGCCCCAACACAGCCGGTGCCCCAGGGCCCTCGGGGTGGCCTGCGTTGGGCCTGGCTTGAGGCCCAGCTCTGCCACTTGCTTCCAGGCCATGGACCTTGGGCAAGTCACGGGATGTCCTTGAATCTCTTCCCGCTCCTGACAATGGAGACTTTGCAAACTATAAAGAACCACGCAAATGAAGGCCAGAGAGTAATACATTCAAAATCTGGCTGAAAAAGCCCCTCTGAGGCTAATGAAAGAATAAGAAGAGCAAAAATATACAAGATTGGACAGAAGAGAAAGGCGATCACAGATTTTTAAAAAGAGTAATGATGTGGCAAGAAACTTGAAAACCTGGAGGAAATGGGTAAAAACCAAGCAAAACACAAATTACTAGACGTTGTAGAAAATAGGCCAATTTCCAGCTAAGCATCTAGAAAGCTGGTTCAGTGTCTGGACGGGTGAGAGGCCGTGTGATGAGCGCTGAGGTGCAGGCACTGTTAGACAGACGTTGCCAGAGCTCCCGGGCACATGGCTCCCGGCCGTGCTGCGAGGCTGGCAAGACCTGCTGCAGAGGGCAGGCTCCAGAAGAGCCGAGGGCACCCACGTGACAGATGCAGGATTGAGAGACTCTGACAACAGTGTTCATGCCAACGATGAAGAGCGAATGCAGCAGTGTCAGACGTGACCCATTGTCACAACCACGCGAGTGTATCCCAGATGCCTCTGTATCGGCCTAATTCACACGCCTACACGGAAAACATGCTGGTTGTACCAACTGAAACTGAAAGGAAATGGAATAACACAACTAAAATTAAAATAATGAAAGAAATTACCTCCATGTGATGAAGGCAGGAAATATTCATTAAAATCAGAAACAAGAATGCTTAATGAACAAAGCAGTTAAACTAACAGAAATAGATACAGAGGACAGACTGCCGGCTACCAGAGGGGAGGGGGCTGAGTGAGAAAGTGAAGGGATTAAGCAAAAACCAACAACTCATAGACCAGGGGTGGGCAAACTTTTTGACTCGAGGGCCACAATGGGTTCTTAAACTAGACCGGAGGGCCGGAACAAAAGCATGGAGTGTTTGTGTGAACTAATATAAATTCAAAGTAAACATCATTACATAAAAGGGTACGGTCTTTTTTTTTTTTTTAGATTTATTCATTTCAAATGGGATCCGGCCCGTGGGCCGTAGTTTGCCCACCGCTGTCCTAGACACATAGCAGACGGTGATTGCCAGGGGGAAGGAGGTCAAGGGAGGCAGGAGAGGGTAAAGGGGATAAAGGTGATGGAAGGAGACTTGGCTTGGGCACAATAGACTTGGATGGACACACATTGCAATATGCAGATGATGCCTGCAGAATTATACACCTGAAACCGATACAATTTCATTAACCAAGGCCACCCCAATGAATTCCATAAAAATGAAAAAAACAAAAACACAAGAATATCATATCACCATTGTTATTGAACATTGTCCTGGATGTGATAAACAAGAAAATAAAATAATAAACATGTAAAAAAAAACAGAAGACTAACTATATATATATATTTTTTTAAATATATTTTATTGTTCGGCGACTAACTATATTTTGGTAAACTTAAAAAGTCTAAGAGACTCTAATTTTTTAAAAAAGCTACTAGAATTAGTAAGTTAATTTAGCAAGGTGTCAATAAATGTACTCCTCAAAAACACCATTAGCTTTACTGCATCCTAACAATAATAAAATATATTACCCATATAAAGAATGTAAATATCTCATTAGTAATTTTATATTATTTTTATGTTGAATGATAATATTTTAGATATATTAGGTAAAGTAAAATGTTATTATTAACATAAACTTCACCTGTTTCTTCTTACTTTTATTACTGTGGCCGCCTGAAAACTTAACATTCTATTTGTGGCTTGCATTATTTTTCTATTGGACACTGCTGCTTTTGAGAGGGAAGCCGGGACACTGCCTTCCAAAACCTTTAGTATGACCTTGAGGCGCCCACTCGGTGCTGCCCCCGCATGGCAAGCAGCTGGGTCACTCAGCTATAGCCACACTGAGCTGGGAGGGCCGCCCGCCCAGTGAGCCAAGCTCCACTCAGCCCAACCCTCGCCTGCTCCGGCAGCTGGAATGCCACTCCTCAGTCTTCAATGTCGTGGTAAATGTCCCCCCTCCAAGCCTGTCCTCTCTGGAAGAGGACTCACATGACACATGCCGAGGGGTCCTGAAGCTGAGCAGCGTGATGATGCCATGACTACTGACATGGCACAGCTAAGAGCCCGTGCCCTGGCAAGGGGGGGTGGGGGGGACGCAGGGAGGGGTCCCATGTCAGCGGCCAGGCCAGCGAGTTAGGGGCTTTCTTTTCAGGCGTTAGGAGGTGACTGCATGTTTTTTAAAAATTGGCATAACATTTCCCTTTTAGAAAAAATATCACCTTGGCCCAGTGTAGAGTAGCAACTGGAGAGGGAAGACAGCAGAGGGAGACCACTCTGCTAGGGAGGCACTGGCCAGAGGTCTGGTCTAAAGGGACAGTGGCCTGGGCCACTGCATCGTGAGGGACAAGAGCCCTGGGAACCAGAGGCGGCCGGGGCAAGCGGGGAGCCAGGAGCAGGCCCTGAGGCAGAGCCTGGGGACAGAGCATTGAAGGGGAGAGCGGAGGAAGGGACATGCAGGAGACCAAAGGCAGCAGGAACCAGGAAGGAGTGAGCGGTGGGAAAGGCAAGGGGGTGTGGGGGCCGGTGGAAGACCCAGCATGTGCCCTGAGCACTGAAGGCTGATACCTTCACGCCCTTATTCACGGCCCCTGATAGCCCTGTGAGCTGAGCAGATACTGTCCCCTTATTCCAGGTGGTGGCACTGGGGCTCTCGGAGGCTCAGGAAGTTGCCCCGGGTCCCACAGGTAGTAAGCGATGTAGCTGGGACAGGAAACAAAGCCTCCTGAGCCACCTGCTCTCCCCCAAGATCCTCCCAGGATTCAAAAGTCCCTGTTTAAGAAATCCAATCAGAAAGAATGTATGCAGCACAATTTACAATAGCTAAGACCTGGAAACAGCCCAAGGGCCCATCAGTAGATGAGTGAATAGGAAGCTGTGGTACATTTACACCATGGAATACTATGCAGCAGTAAAAAAGAAGGACCTCTTACCCTTTGAGAAGCATGGAGGGACCTGGGGAGTGTTATGCTAAGGGAAATAAACCTGACAGAGAAAGACAAGTATCACAAGCAAGCTAGAAGGGGTCAATGGGGAATAAAAGGGAATATGAACTATTTTCAACAATAAAGATTTAATTAAAAAAAGGAATCCAGAATCCTCTGGAACTTCCTGAGCAGCCAGGCTTTCCGGGAGCTATGGTTTGGGATGAAAGATTAAGCATATTTTCTCTCTTCTATGTCCCAGCTCAACCAAGTCCCAGGAGACGAAAACCCCATTTTCCTTCCTTCGGATGAAAAATACGACTGGCTTCTGGCCAAAATCTGGGTGCGCTCCAGTGACTTCCACATCCACCAGACCATCACCCACCTCCTGCGCACACACCTGGTGTCCGAGGTGTTTGGCATCGCCATGTACCGCCAGCTGCCTGCTGTGCACCCCATTTTTAAGGTACAGCAAGCTACTGCCTCAAGGGGCTGGGGGGGAGGGTTGCTGGCTGTGGAGGGGCAGGAGGGAGAGAGGGGCCTGGCTTGGAGGCCAGCAGGCAGGGATCCCGGAGAGGTGTTCTGGGGGCGGCAATGCGTGCTGAGCGCCTGTTGGTCCCTGAGGACACGGGCCTGGGCCTGACATCCGGGTGGCCCAGGTGGTGAGACCCCTTTGAAGAGGCAAATGAGATCCGCATGACCCTAGTCTGAGCCCAGGGGGCAGCCCTGCCACTGCCCCTCTGTCCCTGTCAGCGCTGACTGTTAGGGTGGCTGCAGGCTAAGGCTGTTCCCACCTGCCTCAGTTTCCCCATCTGTATAATGAAGCTCAAGTAGTGCACCCGCCTCATAGGCTCACTGTCCGCATCAAAATAGTTAACGGACTTAGAGCTTAGAACTGCCTGACGAGAGGAGCTCCACACGCGTCGGCCATTTCCACCTTTGTCACTGTCTCCATCGCTGAGCGTCACCGCTGCGTCAGGCGGTGAAGGCCAGGGCCCACCTGCACTTCCTCCCCCAGCCCTCGTGCCACCCTCCACAGCGGACTGGACAGGGGTGCCGAGGGTCCCCTGGGGGCTCCAGAAGGGCGCAGGCCTGGCCAGAGGCCCCGCCGGACCTCCTCTGAGGCTTCCTCTGCTCCCCCAGCTCCTGGTGGCACACGTGCGGTTCACCATCGCCATCAACACCAAGGCCCGGGAGCAGCTCATCTGCCAGTACGGCCTCTTTGACAAGGTGGGCGCTTCCCTCCCGCCCCACGCAGGGCGGCCCCCAGGCTGGCGGGCAGCCACTTCCCCAAACCCGCACAGGTTTCCTCTAGGAGGCCAGGCTCCTAAGCCCCACAGGAGTGGAGGTTGGAGGCTGGAGGCGGACAGAGAGAGCTCCCAGGCTCTGTGCCAGTCTCAGCTCCTTCCAGCTGGCCTGGGTGAGCAATCCCTTTCTGAGTGCATTGCTGCACCACCCGGTCTTCCTCCCACGTGTCTCCCTGTCCCTCCCCGCCTCCCCTCCCCTCCTCGGGCAAGTGGGTACAGACCCTGCCTCCCCACACCCACTCCTCTCCTCTTAGGCACTAGGGACCTGCCGCCCCCTCCCACCCTCTGCCCTTCCCGGCCATCAGCGCTCCCAGCCCATTTTCCTCCCCAGTGGCGTGTTGGTCCCTATTGGTCCCTTACATTCTCCCAGGTAGCACCTCACTCTGTTTTGACCCCACGCACACCTCCCATGGCTTTACGAAGCACAGATTCTCTCCTCCCTCTGCTCACCTTTGACCTCCCTCCTTCCCACCTCCCATTAGTGAGCCGCCAGATGGTCCCTAAGGTTGAGCCACTGTTTAGGTTGCAAAAGACAAAACCCAAGTCAAACCAGCGGAAGCTGGAAAGGAGAGGTACTGCCTCATATACCTGGACATGTAGGGTTGCAGGAGCTTCCGACCGAAATGGACAGGGGCTCAGAGTCCCCAGGCCCAAGCACACTGGCTCCAGTCCCCCCTCTTCCAGCTGTGCTGGCCTCACTCTCCCACAGGCTGCTCGTGGCAGGGGCCGGGACCATGGCTGTGAGCTCCAGGCTCGGGCTTCCACACAGTGACCACATGGCACGGGGGCAACTCTGAGCAAGTCCCACTTGGGTCAAACCACCCCTGGGGACCCATGTCTGGCGCCCAGCACCCGAGCCCTCCTTGGGGGATTCTGTGGCCCTCTGCCCAGCTGTGTGTGTGTGTGTGTGTGTGTGTGTGTGTACACGTGTGCATGCCTGAGAACACTTGTGACTCTATCTTAGCTGCTGGGAGGAGGGCCGTCCCTCCCAGAAGGTCTCTCTCTCCCTCCCTCCCCTGAGCACAGCACATTCCTCCACAGCTTGCTCAGGGCCTGGGGGCTGGTTTCTGCCCCTTTTTCTCAGCCACAGATTGGTCACCGAGAGCACTCCTTGGACTCTGAGCAGCCTGTGTCCCCATCTGCCCGTGGTCCCTGCTGTCCTCCTGGTTGTGGGAGCTGCCCCTCCCTCTGCAGCTGCCCCCAGGCTCCCCACACACCTGTCCATCAACCCCTTTCACAGAGGCTCCTCCCCGTAGCCTCTTCACTGGCTGCCCTGGCTTCTGGGAGTTAAACATCCCTCTCACCCAACCTCACAGGACAAGGCTTTGGCCTCTGCAGGCCTGGCATCTGCCCAGCTGAGCACAGTTAGTTACTCCTGGTGCTCTGGGGCCAGAAGCTGGAGAGGGGGCTCTGGCCTCGGCTCATAGCACTCTCTCTTCCTCCCGCTCAAGGCCAATGCCACAGGGGGCGGTGGGCACGTGCAGATGGTGCAGAAGGCCATGCAGAACCTGACCTACACCTCCCTGTGCTTTCCTGAGGCCATCAAGGCCCGGGGCATGGACAGCACGAAGGACATTCCCTACTACTTCTACCGGGATGACGGGCTCCTGGTGTGGGAAGCCATCAGGGCGTGAGTGCTTGCTGGGCTATGGACCACTCGGTGTGGCTGGAGGGGGTCCTGGAGGAGGAGGGGACCTGGAGGAGGAGGTGACCTGGAGGAGAAGGGGTGCTGGAGGAGGAGGGGACCTGGAGGAGGAGGGGACCTGGAGGAGGAGGGGTGCTGGAGGAGGAGGGGACCTGGAGGAAGAGGGGGTCTGGAGGAGGAGTGGGCCTGGGAGGATGGACCTAGCCAGGGCCTGCACGCTGACTCAGGGACCAGGGATTGGCTTTGCTGTCAGGGCACTGAGTGGGGAAGGGGGGCATATGGGGGTTGGGTGACCCTAAAGTCCTGGACAGTGAGGGGTAAGTGTCAGGGTCACTGCTGGTGTCCTGCCACGGGTCCGGGCCCAGCTCTGTAGACTCCTAGCTGGGCCCCTCTCATGAGCCAGGTTCACGGCCGACGTGGTGGGCATCTACTACGAGAGCGACCAGGTGGTGGAGGAGGACCAGGAGCTGCAGGACTTCGTGAAGGACGTGTATGTGTACGGCATGCGGGGCAGGAAGGCCTCAGGTAGGGACTCGCCCAGCTCTCCCAGCCCTCTTCCCTCTCCTCCCTGCACCTCCGAGTGTCCGTGGGCCACACTGGCCTGTGACATTCACCTGAGTACCTGGTGCTGAGGCCACAGTCCCCAAGACCCCAGAATGCCTCGTCGGGACATTTGGGGGCTTTCTGTGACCCTGATAGCCCGGGTCAGAAACATCGGGACACTAGGCCAAGCCGGTCCCCCCAGTCCTGGTGTGGGGGACCCTAGGGAAGGCTGGAGGAGGAGGGCTCTGTTGGCTGGGTGTCCCTCCTGGGAGGCGAGGCCTTAGTGGGCCCGCGGCTCTGCCTCAGGTTTCCCCAAGTCCATCAAGACCAGGGAGAAGCTGTCGGAGTACCTGACGGTGGTGATCTTCACGGCCTCAGCCCAGCACGCAGCAGTGAACTTCGGCCAGGTGGGCAAGGGCAGGGCCAGCCCTCTGGGAGGGAAATTGCCAAGGTCACCTTGACCTTGCCTGCTACTGATCTGCAGCCTCCCAGCCAGTCAGCTAGAGGAAGCCAGGTGGACATCAGTTGGCCTCAGGGCCGAATTGGTTGTTCCCATAGCTGCACGAGGGGGCTGCAGCCTGGCTGCCGGGCCCTGAGGGCTTGGGTGGGTGCCCAGTTGGGAGGCGGAAACATGGTGGCAGCAGCTGCATTGCCTGTCTGTGGCTCTCCCTGCAGTATGACTGGTGCTCCTGGATCCCCAATGCCCCCCCAACCATGCGGGCCCCGCCGCCCACGGCGAAGGGGGTGGTCACCATTGAGCAGATCGTGGACACACTGCCAGACCGAGGCCGCTCCTGCTGGCACCTGGGTGCCGTGTGGGCGCTGAGCCAGTTCCAGGAAAATGAGGTGAGGCTGTGTGCCCTCCTGGTGGGCAGGTTGCCCCAGGTGCAACCCACTCCTCAACTGAGGGGCTTTGAGATTCAGCCTCAGGGTGGCCCCTGCCCTCCTGGGTCCTCACCTTCCAGGAAGTGGCCCCTGAGGTCCTCAGGCCTGAGGCATGAGGGAGCTGGGCGGCTGGGCAGACAGCGCGGAGGACTCTGTGCCACTGGTGACCTTCCCCACAAAGGCACCCCCACCGCCCCAGCTGCGGACAAAGCTCTTGTGTGGGTTTCTCCTGCCCAGAAGCAACAACTAAGTTTCCTGGGTCTCCCAGACATGCCCGTGCACATGCACCTCGCTTAGCCTAGACCCAGAGCTGGCTACTCAGCAGACACAGCCCCGGGCATTAGCTGGGTGCTGCACAGGCGACTGCCAGGCCCAGACCCGTGGGCGGTGACTTCAGGGCATTTGCTATGCTTTGGTCCCTTGCTGATGTCTATGGATACGTGTCTTTGCACGTGTTCAATGGAATCAGAGGAGACACGCCTAGCAGGGGAACTTCTTGGTCAAAGAATGTTGAGACAGAGCTGCCCTCCACAGACTAAATCCGAAATCCCATCAACCGCCTGGGATGCTTCTCGCACCCCTTCCAGCCCTGAATACGACACTTTCTAGCTTTAACAGTCCAATCGTGTTTTTAAAATATGTCCAGTTCTCACCTGTGTGAGTGTGTGGATGAGCACACCATTGGCAGGGGAGGGGGCCGGCGCTGGCTCCTCTGCTCCTGCCACCTGGAGCCTAGACGGGCAGGTAGGGTGCTGGGCGGCACAGGCAGGTGGGTCTCCACGGCCTCGTTGGGACCAACAGCCTCCACACCTACCTGCACCGTCACACGTCCTTATAGCCACGCGGAGCAGGGCAGTGACGTCTGCCTTCTGTCTGTCTGTAACCCCTCCCCGTCCCCGGAGGCCTCCTCAGGGAAAGCAGGAGGGAGGTGGCATTCGCCGTCTCAGCATTCCCAGCAGCGGGCAGAGGGTGACTCCCAGGGGATGCTGCCCATGCGTGGGACAAGGTCTGTCAATTAGCATCGCTGCATTGCAGCGTAACCTGTCTGTCTGTCTGTCTGTCTGTCCCGGCTCGCAGCTGTTCCTGGGCATGTACCCGGAGGAGCATTTCACTGAGAAACCCGTGAAGGAGGCCATGGCCCGATTCCGCAAGAACCTCGACGCCATCGTCACCGTGATCGCTGAGCGCAACAAGAACAAGAAGCTGCCCTATTACTACTTGTCTCCAGACCGGATTCCCAACAGCGTTGCGATCTGAGCGTCTCACTCCAGGTGGCCGCCCGTTCCCGGTGTTGTTCGGCGCCCAGACTCCAGCCTGTTCGGCTGGGGAGGCCCCTGAGGCGGCCAAGGGGCAGGCCTCCTGGCATCTCTCCCAAGCCCACCAGGATTCCTGGGGATTTTGCCCTCAGGCCCCAGGTTCACTGGCGTCACACCAAAGGCTGCCCAGGGTGGGCCACGGGGTAGCTAAGCTTCGGTGCACATTCCTTTTCTATTCCTCAGTCTTGAGTGAAGCCCATAGTATGATCAGAGGCAACACTGCAGGGACCCCTCCTACACAGGGTGAGATGGTATGGCCTCTGCCCAACACCTCGCTCAGCACTTCTGCACCAGCCAGTCAGGATGTCTGATAGGTGCTTCCTGTTGGAGACATGGAATGACTAGTTTCTGTTCTATTTATGTTTAGTTCCATTTCTTGCGTGTAATACATGCCCAAGTAAAGAATTGGTTGTCACAAAAACAAAATGCATTTAAAACAGGTTTGCTTCCCCATGCTACATTCCAACCAACTCAGACATCTCCTCCCCCGGCTCGCCCCCCACAAAAGTTATAATCACTGTGATTCCATCTAGGCCAGGAGTGGGGAACTTTTTTTTTTTAATTCAGAGGTGAAACTTTTTTTAAAAAATATATTTTTTATTGATTATAGAGATGAAGGGAGAGGGAGAGAGATAGAAACATCAATGATGAAAGAGAATTATGGATCTGACATCTTTCCTTTCCTTCACACCAATCCCGCATACCCGAGTTAACCTCTATTTACTGTTTTTTATACTAAAATTTTTCCCTATATTCTGTTCTTTTTAGACCCTGTTTGGCAATAACAAGCTTACTACATTTGGAACCAGCACAACCAGTGCTCCTTCATTTGGTACAACCAGTGGCGGGCTCTTTGGTAACAAACCAACCCTGACTTTAGGAACCAATACAAACACTTCCAATTTTGGTACATATAAAAAGCAGGTTTGGCTCTCTTAAAGTTACACTGACTATACCACACATCATTCTCCTGATTCATATGATTGGGAATATTTAAAAATTCTCAGGTAAGCTCTAGCTCAATGTCAG